AAGAACCGCCGGAAGATGCGCCTTCGGCGGTAGACGCCTTCGGGTCAACGCCTTCGGAGATGCGGGAGAGTGCATTCGGCGGAAGAGTGAATCCCTCATAACTTTCTCAATTCACAACGCCTTGACTTGGTTAGGGTCTCGTTGGAAAGAACTTGACGCGGTGATTCTAACGAGTCCAAGAACGCCACGAACGGATGAGGGTTCCGGGAGTTATGAAGGTTGCAAGTTACTCAGCTTTCCGCCTACGCGCAGGCGAAGACAGTTTTTGTCCTATGCGCGGACGAAGGCAGTTCGCCTGCGCACAGGCGAAATAGGGTTTTGATGTAGGCGCGAAGTTCGACTACGCACAGGCGTTCGCCTGTGCACAGGCGCTTCGGCGTCGGCGGGAAATCCGCCTTCGGCCCTAGAAATGCGCCTTCGGGGTTGGAACTTGTACGGCTCCAGCGCAACAGCGCGGAAGGACGCGGACGCCTGCAAGTAGGCGGACGGCCTGTGGATAGGCGGCCTGCGGGTAGGACGCGGACGACTGCGGATAGGCGAACGCCTTCGGCGGAAGAGTAAAAACCGTCATAACTTTCTCAATTCTTAACGGTTTGACTAATTTAGGGTCTTGTTGGAAAGAGCTCGCGACGCTCGTTCTAACGAGACCAAGAACTCTTGGAACGGATAAGGCGTCACTGAGTTATGAGCGTCGAAAGCGGCTGTCATGGTTAGGAGAGAGGACTTCGGCGTTAACATATAGAGGAGCCTTCGGCGTTAACAGTTAGAGGGGCCTTCGGCCCAAGGCGGCCTGCGAGTAGGCGGCTTGCATGTAGGACGCGTGGGACCCACAGTCCTCGGATTTTGAAGAAGGAATTTTGGCCTAGGTTCAGAGATCTTGCGGGGCCCATATCTTTGCGATCAACGGTCGGATGGATCTGAAATTTTGTGGGGCCGTTGATCTCGGCCGGCCACGCATGCCTGCAAATTTTCAGCCTCAGATCTTGGATAAAAAGGCGCTGGCGGCTCTATACAGTAGGCTTGGGATTCAGATTTAGGGTTAGATTTAGGTTGTAAGTTAGAGGGGAAGGTAGCCGCCGACTCCTCAGGTGTAGGATTTGTTGCGGCTCGCACCATGGCGTAGTGCAGTGTAGTGCTAGTTAGGACTTAGAAGGTATAAAAAATAGTTCAAGGCGTTTTGCCTTGGGTTCTTTCCCAATTTCGGAAGTGCAGATCAGGAACTCATTTTCTATGCGTGTTTGTGTCCTTAGTTCTGTCACCACGCAAGAGGAGCTACAACTTGGCGTTCCGCATTTTGTAGCTGAAGGCCTTCGGCCGAATGTTCAGAGCTAGTACATTGGTTAGAGACTTGAGTAGTTCGGATCTACACCTGCGGGTGATTGCCGATGCTCAGAGCCAGTGACTAGTTAGATACTTGAATAGTTTCGCCCCTACACCTTCGAGTGTTTGTTCCTGATTGTACTCCTTCGGGATTTTTCCCCTGAATGCCAAAGTGAAGTTTTGTTACTTCGTGTAAGCCTTGGTTGTAAATTCAGGTTACGCTGCAGCAGGTGCCTTCAGGGTAACCCCTGTAGTATTTCTAGGAATGACAAGTGCCTGAGAATTCAAACTCTTCAATAGTCTGTTGTTGTTTTACTGGAATGTTTTCTCAGTGAGTCCTTCAGTGCGGACCTGTGTTCTCTGCGTGTTTTGTGAGTTGAGAGTGTTGTTCACCGCGTATGAGTGACTTCGATCCGAAGTAGGCAGTCCAAACCGGGTTTCCTACACTAGCAGCAAGCTAGTGGAAGTGTTGTAAAAGCCGGAGTTGGAAGTCACTACCCGCAGCTTCGCTGAGTGTGCTCGCGAGAGACTTTCCCCCTGAAATCTTGAGTAGAGGTCCTAACGGATCTCTGGGTTGTGTTTCTGTAGTTTCAGGTGTGTGTGTGTGTGTGTGTGTGTTACGCTGCACTGTGCGACCTCCGAGTGCGCTCCGAGTGGACACTTGCAGTATTTCTGGGAGTGACAGTCGCCTGAGAATTCAAACTCCTCAATAGTCTGTTAAACGTGACACTTTGTACCCTGTGTGTTCCTCTGTCCCTGTGGGTTCGACCTTTCTACCACTATATTGCAGTTTTAGCCTTTAGTGGGTTATTACAACTCCTTCGAGTGACATATCCTGATTGTACTCCTACGGGAAGTTTCCCCTGAATGCCAAAGTGAAGTTTTGTTACTTCGTGTAAACCTTGGTTATCAATTCAGGTTATGTGTGTGTGTTACTGGATTGTGTCTCAGTTGAGTTCTCAGTCGGGCCTGTACTCTCTGCGCTTGGTGTGAGTCGAGGGTGACGTCCACTGCGTATGAGGGACTTCGTTCCGAAGTGGGAAGTCCAATCCGGGTTCCCTACGCTAGCAGAAACTGGCGGAAGGGCTGTAAAAGCCGGAGTGGGAGTCACTACCTGCAGAGCCTCTGAGTGAACTTTTGAGATACTTTCCCCCTGAAATCCTAAGCGGAGGTCCTGACCGACCTCCGAGCTGTGCTTTTCCAGTTTCAGGTGTGTGTGTGTGTTGAGTGACTTACGCTGCACTGTGCATCCTCCGAGCATCCTCCGAGTCGAGCATCCTCCGAGTGACCTCCGAGTCGAGCACTGCAGTATTTCTGGGAGTGACAGTCGCCTGAGAATTCAAACTCTCCAAAAGTCTGTTAAACGTGACACTTTGTACTCTGTGTGTTGCCTCTGTACCTGTAGGTTCGATCTTTTTACCACCATACTGCAGTTTTAGCCTTTGGTGGGTTATTACAGTCAATATTGACGATGAAGGAACAATGAGGGACAGATGATAAATCAGATAAGTCAAATCAATCCAAAATCAATGAGCACAATGAGGAGACGTTGAAGGAGAAGGATGACAATATGAACGATTAGTTTTGCATGGATAGATGGACAAGAGAAATATAATGTGGGCTTGAAGAACGTAGATGGGACTCACTATAAGGAGGGATTGTGCAATGTCGCATTGTTGGAGAAACCTTTGCATCTTGAGATCACTACAAATTGAATTGTGATAGTTGAAGATGTCAAAAACTATCCTCAAATTTTTCCAGATTGGTACAAAAATACTACGCAGCAATCACATGTGGCTGAGTTTGATTGTAAGTATGTGGAGCTAAAAATTAATATTGGAAAAATCAAACATCAAAAAATGAATTCAAAGTTGGAACAAAGTAAGATCAAAGAGTGTAGCGCTTTGATGGATAAACTTAGTGATACATTTGCATGATCATACAACAAGCGTAAGTAAAAAATACCTTGTGAGATGATGGAACATCGGATTCAATTCATTCCAGGCTCTAGGCCGGTTAGTCAGGAAAAAGTCAAATGAATCTTCAGTTGCAGCTGTTGGTGCAGGCCAAATTGGAGAAGTGATTGAAGGCTGGATTTATAAAGCCGATAGAGACTATAAACTAGATGTTTCCTATGGTGTTATTGAAGAAGAGCAATGGAAAGCTATGGATGTTTGTGGATTATTGTAAGCGAAATGCCAAGTATTATTTTTTCCTTGCCTTTCATCACCTTGTTATTGGAGAAGTTTGATGGATATGGTCATTATTATTTTATGGATGGATATGCAGATTTGACTCAGATCTTGATAGCATTAGAATACATTCAGAAGACGATTTTCATCTCTCCTTAGTATAAATTTGTATATGTGGTTACGCCAATTGGGCTTATGCCATTCGAGAAGAGTAGAAGGAGGATTTTGGAAGGGGGAGTTTTTTGTAAGATATTTAGGTTAAAAAAAGAGTAAGAGCAATATGAGGTGGACTCGTGGACGGTGGGAGTCAAGATCAAAAGTAGCTTGATTGATTCAGCTCGATTGTTTGGAGTGAGTTGTTTGAAAAGTTTTGGGGCTTCTCTTGTTGTTACAATCTGGAGATGGCTCGAAGGGGACGCAGAGTCTTCCAGAGGGGAGTTCAGGAAAATTGGTTGTAGCCAGTTTCAAGTGCTAAGTAGAGCTAAATAAGTATATGGAAGCATAACATTTCCACCCCGACAACTTTCCACATGGATGGAGGTTTAGAGCTGAATATTTTCTGTATATTAAATTATGGATGGAGGTTTAGAGCTAAAAATAACCTATTCATTAAATTATGGAATGAGAAAATCAAGACATACTAAGCAAATTTTTTTTGATTAAATAAGTGTTTGGTATCACCTTATAGTGCTTGTGGTAAAGCGAACATGCACTCGTTTTTTACAGTATTTAGAAGTCTACTTACAATTGTATTGGAAAGCAACTAACAATCGTCAATTTCGCAGATTTTTATTGTCACTGGTGCAGCAGAGTTGTTGTATCTCTTTTCTCGGCACTGTAGTTCAAGACACTGAACATTGGACGGAGTCATCTTTTTCAGTACGGAAGGTCTTCATCAATGCTCGTATGGGTAGAGTTGATATATCAATTGTATGATCTAAAGAGACATTCCCAAGTTTCTTCAAAGATGGATATCGTAACATGTTCTGCTCAATAGCTATTCAAATTTGACAGGAAAGAGTAAACTGAATAAGAAGCTCATAGAATAAGAATCTACTCATTACCTTGAGAAACCATCGACCCTGCCGAATTACCCACAATCACGAAAGAAAACAAAACAACCAATCTCGGTCGCTATTGATCGTATGTATAGATAACACACTCACGTGATAATTGACAAAAGTTTTGGACATCTGCAGTTATTGATCTGACATTATTCAGCAACAATTGACTGCAAAAACCAAACGACGCCTAACCAATATAATATTGATATACCAGCACGACTTTTAAGGTCCATCACTTCGGTCCGCAGATTCAGGCTCTAGAATTCCGAAACGATCGAATGTCGTTGCTCATGGTAGGAAAGTGTAACTTACTACGGAACTGCCCACCCGCCCTGACAGTCATATTCGGCCTGCCATAATACTCTCACAGATCTGAGTCCAAATCGGGCCCTTATAAGCTTCCTACTTTGAGCATATCCGTCATCAGCTTGCAGAGGACGAAGCAACTCGAAACAAAGGACAGATCCAGTCCAGCGCTCTATCAAGATGGTGACGATGTATCGATCTCTGAGGGACTTTCCAGTGAAACTCATGAGTTTCATCTGTTTTACGGCGATATGCTTTCCTTCGGTGCTGGGAGCTCGTATGATGCTTGATTTCCCAACTCTACCTCCTCTCCCAACGATTTCTACTCATACAGTTACGCTGCCTCCTCTCCCAGCTTTCTCTACTCAGCTTCCAACGCTGCCTCCTCTACCAAATCTTCTTTCTCATCTTCCATCGCTGCCTCCGCTCCCAACTCTCCCACCTCTTCCTACTCACATCCCAAAGCCGCCTCCTCTTCCCACGCTTCCACCTCTTCCTGCTCATCTTCCATCGCTTCCACCTCGTCCTACTCACATTCCAACGCTTCCTCCTCTCGCAACTCTTCCAACGCTTCCACCTCGTCCTACACACATTCCTACGTTGCCTCCTCTTCCGAGTCTTCCACCTCTTCCGACTCACATCTAACTGCTCGTCTTCAATCTGTCCCCCGTTCTCCTCCATCTGAATTACCATCTCCAGCTCCTTCATCTTGATCTTTCCCCGTTCGGATTCCTAGCACGGTCAGACAAAACGCTGGGACGCATTGCTTGAAGATGAGCGTATCTTCCAGAAACTGTCATCGGGTGATAATCTCTGTCCGCAGCTTCTTCCAGAACAATGAGTACTTCCTGAAGTTTCTTAGCCATCTTGATCAGTCTGATGTGATCGTCGGTCGGAGGTGGACTGATGTGTTCTACTGCTGAAAATGGTTGTTCAAGGCATCCAGTCTCTAGTATCCTGGAAGCGCGATATACTTTCTGCTCTTACTGGTGACGCAGGATCTAAATTAAAGCGCTTAGTCTACAAATATGGACCTGATCAGAGACAAACAAGCAGAGTAATGCTTTTAGTGCCATGGTAATCAAACCAGATAGAAAATGAATAATCATGGTTCACGGTACTCAGCAAAGCAGCGTATCTGTACAGGGACAACAATGTACGTTGATGAAAAAATATATTTCGTTGGGTACCATTTTTGATCAAGCAATAAAGGCCATATCTTACCTCGGACTTGACTCCCATTTTTGTTAGTGCTGTGGATACTCTGGCGGATTCCAATTCAGGATTTTGATTATTTCTAAATCTGTTCTTCCTGTTGTACAATGTTGAGATTATTCCAACTAATACAGTTGTTCCAACTGGAATATTTGTTAGGATCAAGCTCACGCTATTGTAATTTGGTAGTCAGATCTTTTCTCCCATCCGTTTCGTCTTGAACGAGTCAATTGATTCGGAACTGTGGTAACACACTTTTTGTTTTTTTTGCAGAATTTAAACAATTTTAGAAAAGAAGTACCGAAGCAGTGTCTGTAGTTAGGAAATGGTACGTTAAATAGAGTGGACTGAGGAGATCGCGGGTCACGAAGAATCGCGGAGTTGGACATACCAGCGCCAAACGCCTTCGGCAAGATCTTCTTTGCTGAGGTGTCTCTACCCACGCGCCTCCAGCGCTTAGGGAAGGTACGCTTCCGGCACACACACCTCCGGAGGAGATGTCGCTGAAGACGTTAGAAGCCGGCAAGGACCTCTGAAGGCTTCCGACCATGAGTGCGCCTTCGGCGATGCTCCGTTGGCGCGGAAGCGAAACCTTCATAACGATCAGGATTCACAGTAGTTCTAGTTGGTTGAGGTCTCATTGAAAAGAGCTCGGGACGCTCGTTCTAACGAGCCCAAGAGCGCCGGAGATGGATCAGGGACGAAGAAGTAATGAGCGTCGAAAAACTCGCATCCGGAGATGCGCTGTTCGCGCTAGGGTTCACCGTCGGAAAGGACCCTTGTACGCCTTCGGCGATGCGACTTCGGCGGAACCACGCGCTCATGAGAGGAGATCAAGTCGGAGGCGGAAGCGCCTTTGGCGGTTGCGCAGCGGAAGAGAAGCGCCGGCCTGATGTACGACTCCGACGTGGCGCAGACAGGCGGGTGCGCTGACATAATTCGCGCCGACGGGATATGCGCCGTCGGCGATGGGCAGGTTGGGAAAAGACAACATAGTCGGAGCATACTCTCCACTGTGGCGAACTCGAGTCCGGAAGCCCTCGGCGATGGCGAACTCAGAGCCGGAGGACGATGGCGGCGGGAGAATTCAACGTTCACGCATGCGAATGCGCGCAGTGCGGAGTCGTGAATTCGAGCATGCGAGGGAGAACCGTTAGGCCGTATAGCCGGCTGCGTAATCAAGTTTGATTGTACCCAGTGAGAGCGTTGGGCGATCTTGAAATCGGAGAAGAAAAGTCTGCTCTCCAGTCTCATTCTCTCATTCTTGATTGTGAGTCTTCCAGCTTCAGAGATTAAGCGCAAGGGCGGAGAGACCTGCAGTGAGTTAGAGAGAGTGCGGAGGCGAGTTGCGCGAGGATCTTGACGGACCTTGCAGAGAGTTTGCGAGTAGAGAAATTGAGCGTGCAAGAGAGGAGAGAGCGATTTCAGTCAGTGTCTGAGCGGCCGACGCGCAGCGGCGATTGTGAGAGATCGAGCGGGAGGGAAGAACGTCTGTGTGTGTGCAGGGAAAGCAAGAAAGATGTTGAAGGTCCCCCTGCTGCGAGTGTCTCCACTCAGAGTGCCGCAGATCGGTCTGCGCGCATTCCAAGATGTGTTGACAAGGTTGAAGCTTGATTTCCTCCTGTGGGGATGGAATTGGACGTGTCCGGAGATGGTGCGCGAGTATTTGCGGGAGAAACACCAGCCCTCGCGCGGATTCCGCCCACACCCCGAGAGGTGGGACATTAGTCACTGGGCGTAGGTGTTAGGAAGGTGTGCAGGCAAGGAAGGGTATCTCCTCTTCGAGGCCGAGAGCGTGAAGATGTCGAAGGAGGAAGAAGTCTCCTACAATGATCTTTTCAAAGTTGGCAAGCATCCCAAGAACGGTTTCCGGACGCGGGATTACAAAGATCGATTGCGGAGAAATGTCGCGACTGCATTGCTTCAGATATTGCAGCCGACCAAGACTGCCTACATGCATGGTTGGCAAGTGGGATTTGTGGAGCTAGTGTTGTCAGGAGCTCCGGTTCATTGGGCACGGCTCCTGTGAAAGGTGACGCGCCAACATGCGCAAGAAGAGAGAGGAGGGACCCTCAATCATCTTTCGCCTTACCTGATCGTGTTTTATCGAGCGATGGGATGTTTGATAGCTTCAGAGCGGGCGCGGTTTCCGCTGCTGACCCGGAGTAATCCGGGTAGATACTTGCGGGAGGCTGAAGTGGACACAGATCCGGACGAAGCACCTGCCAGTCCAGCTCCAGCTCCGGCTCCGGCAAGAGCAGAAGAAGGGCATCGAAGTGAGCGCGCACCGCGGAAGCGGAATTGGGATGAGAGACCAGAAGACAGGCAGCCGGAAGCTCCCGCTGCGCCGACTCGGAGTCGGCCAACCCACGAGCTTCACAGCCGGCCGAAACAGAGGGCACGCAAGATGGTGTTGCCAACTAGTAGTGAGGAGACCGGGCGTACTCCGGTCCGGCGGAGTGTCCTGCCCACGCAGGAGGAGATAATCGCGTAGGTTCTGGGGAGGTCGGTGAATCCCTCTGCGCAGAAGGCGCGGATGCCTTCAGAAGTCGGCCGACTGCGAGTCGGGCGACTGAAGGACGGCCAACTACAGGTCGGCAAGAGCAGCGCGTTGAACCGGATAGCAGGCCGGAAGCAGAAGGGAGTTTGGCTGAAGAGCCAACAACTCTCACAGAGTCGTCTTCGGCAGAAGACGCTTCTGAGAAAACGCCTCCACCAAAGAGGCCAAGTGGAGTAAAGACGTGCAGGGTGGATCCGACTGCCAGTCGGACAACAGCTAGTCGGCCGACTGCGAGTCGGTCAACTGAGAGTCGGCCGGATTCGCCGACTACGAATCGGACAGGACCGGCGACCATTGTGCGGGCGCCTTCGGCGGACACACCTCCGGCGAAGACACCTTCCGCGCAGATCGCACCGGAAGAGCAGACAGTAGAAGCGGGCGGTGCAGGGGTGACAAAAGTAACTGCGGCGCCGACCCCTTCGAGAACCGAAGATCGAGCCGGAACAGAGGCTCAGAGTTGGATATTTTAGCAGGGAGTGGAGCGGCAGTCGCGGCGGAAGCTGCCGCGCGCCACAGTTCCAGGGAGTCGCCAAGAGATTCTGTGGCGACTGAGATCCTCGAAACAAAGGATGAGACGAGTTCGGAAGAGCAGGAAGCGGACTCTGTGCGGAAGACGCCAACAGGGGTACTGTGCGAGCAGATAGTGCCACTCTTGCGATATTTGGATCGCAAGACAGCAAAGTACGCGAGTTCCTGAAAACCGCAGTCTTATGTGGAGATTGTTAAGAGTAGGACGAGGAGCAAGGTAGCCATTTGGGCCACTAGGTGCCAAACGTTGGAGATGTGGAATACTGCCCTCCAACAGCACCTTGCGATCACGAAGAGGCTACACCAAACCTTGCAACAACAGCGAGAGGATGCGGCGACGAAAGCCCAGGCGGATGTCGAGCTAATGCGGGCAAAGATCGAGTGGGAATTGCAAGAAGAGCGGAGACGAAACCGCATTCTAACAGAGGAACTTGCGCGCCAGACGCGCGCATTAGAGGAAAGTCAAAGCACGCGCAAGGAGGATGAGGAGTTGTTGCGCAACTTGCAACCGAGTGCGCGGAATTGAGGGCGCAGCGCGCAGATGCGGAGATGCAGCTAGCAGAGGTGGAAGGCAGCAGCCGGACGAGAGAGGAGTTGGTGACGCGGGTGACCCACTGTCTAAGAGGATACGCCCACTGGGAAGTGGCGGCACAAGAGAAGATCACGCTTAGGGAGTTTGAGCTTCGGGCGGCGGCATTGACGGAGGGTGATAGTCGGAGTCGGCGGCGAGTGGCGAGGAAATTAGAGGCCTTCTTGTCGGGTGCGCGCGACACTATGGCGCACTTGGAGTCGGAAGTGACTGCAGTCCTTCGGTGGCTGGGGTTGCGCAGCCGGTCGGAAGATTGGCAGGGTAGGGAGATAGTGCGAGGCAGTCCGGCGCGCAGGAGGCGCAGTACCGGATCTGCAGAGTGCAGAAGTGTAGCTTGGTTTCGTGCAGGAGTTTAGAGTAGCAGGTAGTGCAACTAGTGTTAGTTATGACCTTAGAGGGTATAAAGTAGTTCAAGGCGTTTTGCCTTGGGATTCTTCCAGATTCGGAAGTGCAGATCAGGAACTCACTTTCTCGGCGTGTTTGTGCATTTGATCCTAGCACCACGTAGAGGAGCTACAACTTAGTTAAGTTACCGCATTTTGTAGCTGAAGGCCTTCGGCTGAATGTTCAGAGCTAGTATATCGGTTAGAGACTTGAGTAGTGCGGATCTGCACCTGCGGGTGATTTCTGATGCTCAGAGCCGGTTGCGAGTTAGATACTTGAACAGTTCCCCCTTACACCTTCGAGTGACATATCCTGATTGTACTCCTACGGGAAGTTTCCCCTGAATGCCAAAGTGAAGTTTTGTTACTTCGTATAAACCTTGGTTATCAATTCAGGTTATGTGTGTGTGTTACTGGATTGTGTCTCAATTGAGTCTCTCAGTCGGGCCTGTACTCTCTGCGCTTAGTGTGAGTCGAGAGTGACGTCCACCGCGTATGAGTGACTTCGTTCCGAAGTGGGAAGTCCAATCCGGGTTTCCTACGCCAGCAGAAACTAGCGGGAGGGTTGTAAAAGCCGGAGTGGGAGTCACTACCTGCAGAGCCTCTGAGTGTACTTTTGAGAGACTTTCCCCCTGAAATCCTAAGCGGAGGTTCTGACCGACCTCCGAGTTGTGCTTTTCCAGTTTCAGGTCTGTGTGTGTGTGTGTTGAGTGACTTACGCTGCACTGTGCATCCTCCGAGCATCCTCCGAGTCGAGCATCCTCCGAGTGACCTCCAAGTTGAGCATCCTCCGAGCGGCCTCCGAGTCGAGCACTGCAGTATTTCTGGGAGTGACAGTCGCCTGAGAATTCAAACTCTCCAAAAGTCTGTTAAATGTGACACTTTGTACTCTGTGTGTTGCCTCTGTCCCTGTGGGTTCGATCTTTTTACCACCATACTGCAGTTTTAGCCTTTGGTGGGTTATTACAGGAACGATGAGTGCTGTTTCATCTGAAAATTTCCACATGAAAATTTAGGAATATCGGAGGATTCTTATTCCCTCTGAGTCGTGCGGATCATAAAAGTTTGC